GGGCTACTCTTTTATCAACGAATAGTGAGATTGACCGTAACATTATATCGCTCCTACAGCTGAAAGAGCGAGCGGGGGGGGGGGGTTCGAGCCCGCCACCTACAGATTGCGAGTTGAGCGTCCTAACCACCTGGCCATGCCGGGGCCCCTGAGGCTGTCACTTACACTTAATGGCATTGGAAATCAAACTGTAGGCACATAGATCACCCAGAACAGTTCTGCGACAATTCATTCTTGTTTGAAATTCTAAATCCACGATGTAAACACATCTTGATGATTTGCGTGTATACATATTTTACGTCGGAAGGAGGAGTTACATACATTTTCGAAAAGCGATACATTTGATATGGCATAGTAATGTCTAAGTAAAGTCAAGATGTTGAAATATAGTCCTGATACATGGTATTTCACCTTGAAGTTACATCGGCTAATGTCGTCACGTGACTTGTTGATTTTCACTTTCAAAATATATTTAATATAGTGTACTATACTAGTGTAAGCATCATATTATGAATAACTTAAAACTATTTCAGTTTAAACTTACAAAATGAACAATAATTTCGTTCGTTCCTGACGATAATACCCAATGGAAAAGGTACATTGTGTAAAAAAAAAAAAAAGACGAATAAAAAGCAGCTGCCACTGATTATCAAAGCGATGGCGGTAACGTGAAACGTGGAGATAGTTAACAGTATCATGCTGTTCAGGAATTTGCTCTTTATTTACCAGCCAAAACCATCAAAAGAATGGAAAACACTATGGCCAGGTTAGAGCGTAGTTACAAATTATTCCAAATAAATACCGCACATACTAGAAATTAATTGATCCAGAAAGGTTTGATATTAATATGAAAAAGCGTATAGTCTTCTACACATTTCAAATCTTCTACCAACTGATGCAATGTCCCTCCTCTTCAAAATAATGTCCTCAATAAAATGTTTGTATAAAATAGGCAGAGGATCGATTGCAAAAGAGAAGGCTGATTGGTTGCATGTATCAAATAATTCCTGTAGTTCGCATCATGTCCAAAAATCAAGCACAAATAAACAAAAAACGAAAACAAAGATTAGTTTAGGTGTTTAGAGTTAAGCACAAAGCTACACAATGGGCTATCTGTGCACTGCTCACCACAGGTATCGAAACCCGGATTCTAGCGTTGTAAGTCCCCAGACATACCACTGTACCACTGAGAGGCAAAAACAAAGATAATTACAACAACTGCTGAATGAAGACGAGACAAAACAGGACGTGCACTAATATTAAGCATGTTTCATGTTTACAACGTACGAAACGAGAATGAGAAGATTAACAACAGATTCATTCGAC